GTATTTTAACCATGTTTTAATGTAGGTGAATGCTATGCTATCTCACAACAAGTAATAATACGATATTTATAATTTTGTGACTATTTCATTTTATTATTTCATTATTTCATTATTTATTTACACTAAAACTGTTTAATTGTAATTTTCTATTGATTATGTGAATGTGGTATTGAGGTTAGGGAAATTATTGTTGTATACGGAGTAAAATTTGTACACTACAGAAAATTACTGAATTTTAAATGAATTTACTAAAATTATCTATTACACATCTCCCTAATATATAAATGTTGGAAGGATGTTAGTTTGGTCCTATTGCCGTTACTACAGCCCTCAAATAACTCACGCCGTTTGTGATTCTCCGGCTTAAATGAGCGGCAGGTGTCTTTCCCTCATTCATTTTCCATTTCACGCTCAAGAATTTCGTTCGCAGAGCTAGGGTTGCAGTAGAGTCTTCCGCCAACGATCCGCTGTATCAATCTTTCTGGAACCTTTGCTAGCATAACTAAACAACCGAACAAATCAGAGGTCGAAGCTGCCCAGCGTCTACCGGCGATTATCACTCTGTCCAGTGACCATATCATCTCATGGTATTTTGCTTCTCCTTTTTCCAATTCGTTTCATTTCTAAAGCAGATAAAGATTCTTTTCTGCAAGGAAGAGAAAACTGGTGAGAGTAGTAATGGGGTGTGTGCGGCTGAAACTCCTCACACTCATGGCGTTAGGGTTTGCCAACCTTTCTCGGTTGGTCTTCTGAATTCAAATACTGTTTTGATTAATATCATTTCGGACCTAGATTCTCAATTTGGAACCAAAATCGATGATGCTCCAAGCCTCTTTGGATGCTGAGGTTACTGCTGGCAAAAATACACACCCGGGTGTGTAAAGGAAAAGTCTGCAGCTCAAACTTTCAACAATAACTTAGCCATTTCTGCTTCACTCATTAAGGGGACTCCAACTGAGATTACTGTGATAATTTCTGCAATACTAAAGTTGCTTGTAATGCTCTTGTTATTTGTGCTGCTTCTATCCCTGTTACTGATAGTGAAAATGTTGTGATTGTGAACAGTTCTGTAAAAGATGGCCCTGATATTGATTAATGTGAAAATGCCCTTGTCCCTATTAAGCTATTATTGATAGTGAAAATGTTGCCTGCGAAAGTGTTGCATGTGAGAAAGTTGCCTGTGATAAAATGATTGCTGCTTATAATGAATTTGCCCCTGAGATTATGATATTCCCCTTGCTGCAGATGATGCTTCTAACTCAGAGGCTCAGAAAGAACATGAGGTCCCTACGGTTTACAGGTTTGATTCTTTGAGTCAAACATTGGATTTGGGAAACGATGATCCCTTTTCTGATCCCTCATCTGATAATAGAGCTCCAAATAACCCAGAAACTGTCCCAACTAGCTCATTTGCCACCCATAATCGGCTTCCAGTAACTAATTCTAACACTGTCCCAAGCGGGTCCCATGAGGAAACTATTTCTGAGGACTATTCAACTGTTTTTCAATTTTCTTCAGGTCCAACAGACAAACAATCAGAAGAGGGGAAAGAAGAAAAATTAACAAGAACTCCACCAAGATCCATAAAAAATGAACAGAGCAGCCTTGGTAATCATCACCTCTCGACCTCATTAATTTCATTTAGTTTCATTATTATTTGGCATTGGTTATGTGAAATTAAATCTGCTGAGAGGTTATGCTAAGATCAAGAAATTGCATTTACAATCAAGAAATTAAATGCATTTTTGGTATTGTGAACACTTCTTCTTCTCCAGTTTTCCTAACATTTCAGTGGTAAGTACTCTTCTATACATTTATGCGTTCAATAACCATAGACATTAAGTTTCTTTTCAGGTTTATGCAATCAAATCTAATAATTTTGGGGATAGCAAAGGAAGCAACACGGAGGAGTGCCTTTTAATTATCACTTGAAAGAGGTAAGGGGCTCTATCTCATTGTGATTTAAATATTCTTATTATACTCTGTTTTATGTTTTCTAAAGCCTAATTGTTCTACATTGTGTTAGTGAGGAGTCAGGTTTAAGTCACATGTTGAGTTATGTCTTACCATATGTCTTTCCAGGCCTTTAGGCATTGAGAGTGCTTCATTGTATGTTTATATTGTGTGTTTGTGCATTGTATGTATTTACAGACCTTTAGGCATTGTATATTTGGGTGTTTTCCATGTCATGGGTTTACGCATATTTGTACCCAAATGCAGATGTATCGAACAGTTAAAACCACTGACAAACCTGCTGTTTCCTCAGGTATATTCATATATACTTAATTCTTTAATTAATCTTGGTCAGTCTTGACTTTAATTTTAGCCTAAATTTCTGGGAATTTTGCATCGGTTTTAGTGAAGGGCAATCAGACGGTTAAGGGGATGAAGATCCGACTGTGCTAGGGAGCACAGGTGGCGGCGCAGGAATCCGGCTCATGGGCCAGAGGGGACCTCTTGATGTTTCTCTGCAACAAGAACCGGCTTTTCTTTCCAGCCGTGGAGTAACTCTTCAAGGTAATTTTTTGTAATAAAAATTAATTGATTCGCAGAATGCACTTCAAATTTTTACTTTTTATGAAATGGAAATAATGAAGAGCTTAAGAGCCGAATAATAAATTGAGTTGAGTAAAATGCACTCGTAGAAGCTAAGTATCAGGTGGCTTTTTTGAGTAACGGAAATTAATTGACATGCCCACCGGCCAATTTTCACTTCATCAAGAATTCAAGACAAGAAAAATTCCTTCTATTATTATTATTATTATTATTATAATCACAGGTCTTTTCTTTACTTTTGCTTTCATTTCATTCAACTCCCCTCTTTTCCTTTTATCATTTTAGTTTTTAATGATAAGAGATTGTCGGCCCGCATTCTTTTTCTGTATATTTCTCAATAGCATGCATTTAAACGATCATGGAAAAACCTGCTAATGTAAATTATTTAATTGGTTGTAAATCTACATTTCAAAGGTATAGATTAACCTTCCCTTGGGAAAGCTTAAGAACAGATTTTTTTATGAAACCTGTTTAGTCTGACTTATTATTTGCCAATAGGACCCTTCCCTTGGGACGGTTTAGAATATTTTACTGATTTGATTAAAATATTTGTTTATAAACCATTAGGCATTGAGAGTTCTTTGTGTCTATATGTTTGTGTGTTTTCCGTCTAATGTGTTTATGCATATATGCAAGCTGCCATTGAATTGGTAAGAATATGAGCTTGCCATATCTTGTTTTGACGTCACTTTGTTCTTTTATTTCTCTGTTTTTCTTCTAGATTGTGATAATCTGATTGCCCTGGTTTGTATCTTGATATTGTATTTCGGGGTTGCCTCCAGTTATTTCTATCCATGGTAGTGCTGGGAATCTGTTGCAAATCTCAAACTATTAGTGAATAGGACTGAGTACTGCTGCTCTTTTGTCTTCTCGGGCCTCTGTAAGCTCTTTTCTCTGTCAATGGGCCGGGTTTTATTCCTCTACAAAAGAGAATACTTCGTATAACCCAGCCGAGGCGCACTAAGACAAGTCACAAAGTATCGGAGTTTAGCTTAACCTTCCGTTGGTTATAGTGCACCAGTTCATCATGCCCAGTTAATATTTGTTTTGTAACTGTATGTCTTGGAGCATCTCAAATAGGCACGAAGAATGTTATTGATGCTTGCATTGAGCTGAAAGTGCAAAGACTTATATACACCAGCTCTCCCAGCGTAATTTTCGATGGTATTCATGGAATTTTAACTATGGATGAATCGACACCTTATCCTGCTAAGGTATACATTATATCATGACTTCAAGTGGGATTTTTACAACACAATAGCCAGCCTCATCAGTATGTGCTTTATTGTTTTTAATTAAAAAAGAGAAGATGCTAATAGTTTTTTTAGTGTATTCTTTTTGCCAGCACAATGATTCATATTCTGAGACTAAAGCTGAAGGCGAGAAACTGGTTGTCAAGTCAAGTAGCAGTAATGGTTTGCTGACATGTTGTATCTGACCCAGTGGCATTTTTTGGCCCCGGTGACAGGTTGCTTATTCCTTCATTAGTTACTGCTGCAAGAGTAGGGAAGTCCAAGGTAAATGCAAATTCTAGGATAAGGGTGAGTAATTTTCCAAACCGTAACCTTACAGTTAGATTTGGATTAAAATAGAGGAATGAGCCCTTTTGCTTTGCAGTTATGTCAATCTCTGTCATTACTCTTGTTATTCAATTGTTTTCCTCATTTCCCTTCCCCATTTTCCACCATTGCTCATTAATCCTCACTTTCTTGCTGTGATGTTTTGTTTCATCTTTGTTCTCCAAATAGAAACGAAATATAAGAAAAACTTTTATGTTAAATATTTACTCTTGTTAACAATTTTTTCAATTACTTCTTCACAAATACTTACTTTTATGACATAAAAATACTGAAACAATAATTACTTTTATGTTTCTTTCTTACTTCAATTATCCCTTTCTCATATTAATCTTGCATTCATTTCATACCATAATTCTGTACCTCCCATTGGGCATAACAACCGCGCAAAGCGCGGATCCCCGCTAGTATAAGTATAAGTAGGGTGTGTGTACAATTTTGTACACCTACGGAATATGCTTTGTATTAAAATACTATACGGAGTATCTGATAGCGATAACAGACACGTGGTCATACTATGAGACACGTGCTCAGTTATAACGCGGTGGACTGCACGCAGCCACTTCTTATCGTTACAGCAGTCGTACCATTTTTTTCTCTTAACTCAAAGAATGGTAAGGAATAATATAGAAAAAGTAAGAGAGGACTGAAAAACTAGGAAAAAGATGGTAAAAAGTAGAAAAAATAAGGATAATTGAGTATATTTAAATGAAAAATTGTAAAGAACTTTAAATATATCCAAAAAAAGTGTAAGAAACTTCTAAATATGGAGGTAGTAAATCTTTTGTGTTTTTTCCGCAAAAGAAAATCTTTTGTGTTTTTTTTCTTGCAAAAGAAAATCTTTTGTGTTTTTAATTACTCGTTTCTCCCCCATCTTCTCCGTCAACATTTCACCTGAACAAATCTAATAATCTACAGTAATTCTTGCCCTAAGAATCATCAAGTACGATCAAGATAAGATTTCTTATTGTCCTAGAAACTCCACTCCACTCGAGTCAATATCACTTCTTTCAATGTCTCTGTGGCTCTGAATACAACAACTCCCGAACTAGCTCCCATTTCCATCAATGGCTGCCAGCTCCCGTAAAGGCAAGTTTTTTCTCTTCTGTTTGCTTATATCGTCTTCTTTCCTCCATATATCTTGGGTCTATTCTGACTCAGAGTCAGAACCCGAACCAGAATCATTCCCTGTGATTGAGAAAGATAATGGAATTCAAGAGACGTATAAATCAACACCTGATGCTTTATTAGAGGTGTTAGCTAGACACCAAGAACAGTTAGATAAGCTCGAGGGGTTAGTGAAGGATCTAAGTAATATAGTTGGTAGGTTGGAATCGAAATCAAGATTCTCGGATTACCCAGATTTTAGAAAGCCAGATACTGCAAAACCCATTGTTGGAAACCTTCCAAAAGATGTAATTGAAGAGAAATATGATGGGAAGGTGGAGGGTATTAGTGTTAGTGATTCTATCTTGGAGAAACCTGGGGATAAACAGAGAGCAGTTTCAGTTACAAAGTACAGCTCTTTTTGGTCTGACAGGTTCCAATTCGTTTCTGCTGTGAGAGTGGATTCAGATCCTACTTGTATTAACGTCCTGCCATTCAAAGATTTCGATGGGTTGAGCAAGTATATCGCCGTTGGAGATTCTCGGGGTCAAATATATGTTTTTTCAAGGAATGGGGATGTTTCTGCAGAGTTTAAAACATCATTGGACTCCCCAATCACTGCTCTTGCCTCATTCTTGACGCTTTACAAGAATGAGAGTGTTTTAGTTACTGGCCATAAGAATGGTGTGGTTTTGAAGCATAGAGTGTGGGAGGTGGTGCAGAACGGGGAGGAGTGGCCTATGCTTCATATAGAAACTGTTGGGAAGTTCGATTCACCCGAATCCGGGGAAGGTGGATCGTCAATCACTAATTTGGAAGTGCATCATATGGGGAGGAACAGGTTTGTGTTGTCAATAGATTTTGACGGGAATCTTAGGGTTTTTAGGGCAAATGGGTCAGTTTATGGCTTGGTAGTGCCTAAAAGCAGACCACTCGCCTTCTTGAAGCAAAGGCTTTTGTTCCTAACCGAAACGGGTGCCGGGTCATTGGACTTGAGGACAATGAGGATTAGGGAGTCTGAATGTGAAAGCTTAAACAACTCCTTAGCTAAAACCTATGTTTTCGATGCCATTGAATGGTCAAAAGCATATGGCTTTACTTCTGAAGGAGAAATGATTCACGTTCTCCTGTTGGGTGATATAATCAACTTCAAGTGCCGTGTAAGATCCAAAAAGAAGCTGGAAACAGGCATGGAAGGGCCTCTCACATTTCAGGCAATCAAAGGGTATTTGCTCATCTCCAATGTGGAGAAGGTTTGGGTATACAATGTGTCCTCTCAGCATTACGTTCGAGCTGGTGTGCCCAAACTCGTTTTCTCTGCAGGTCTTGATGAGGTCGCAAGTTCATTTCTCAATCACCAATCTGATGGTTTGAATCAAAAGAAGAAAATGCTGATTCCGCTTCTAGCTAGTGATCGGGAAAAGCTTGTTGTACTCGGGACAAGAAGTGGTTATATAGGAATTTACCGTTCTAATCTTCCCATTTTCAAGAACGAATTTAACACCATGCTATGGGCAAGTCCTGTGTTGCTCTTCATCCTTTTCCTTTTCGGTGCCTGGCATTTTTTTGCCAATAAAAAGGAAGCACTTACATCTTGGGGCCCGGATGACCACTTCAGCTCTACTACCTCGGTTACGGATGGAGCACAGCTGGGCTCAGATATAATGGACCTAAGGAACAACAGTTTAAGAGGTTCGGGTCCAGCGGGAAGGTTTGGGTCTCAATTGCAATATCAAAATCCGAGACCATCTTCTGTTGATCAGAATTTCAGAGCAGCCCAGGAATTGAAATATAGGGGTGGAAATCTTGACACTTCTGCTTTCCCTAAAAGAAGGGATGGCCTGTTTGTCAACAGTCCCGTTGTCGATGATAGCTAGAAGTTGTGATATATGAAATATATGGGCGGTCCGGATAACAAATAGAAGGCACATTTGGTTCGGGAACTACGGCTGAGCAGAACTCTTAATATGTATACTTTTACAGTTTGGGAAGGAATAGAATAAAGACATTTTGGGCATCTCTCTCGACTGTCTTGAAGTTCCTAACCAGTTTTCCTTACAATTTTCCTATTTGTCCTTCCTTATTCACTTATGAAATTTACACTAGTTTTACCGATTGCAATGGTGAGTGTTGTATGAATATTTTGTGCAATATAATGAAGGGCGTATACGAAAGCATTTGTTATGAGAAAGTAAATAAATTTCTGTGTAAACTGTTAGGATATTTGGGTGGAAAAAAGTGTCTTGGTTTGGCGTCTCAACTTTTTAGCCAAAATGTAAAAATAAAGAAAAGCTTTAGGGGGCGTTTGTTATGATGCAAAGTAATCATTTTACGTGTAAAATGTAGGGATGCTAACAATTTATATCGTTTGGTAGGATTATTCAATGTAAACTGTAGGGTATTATTTTAAAATATTTTGCACTGTATCATGTAAAATACTTTACGTGGGGGAGGGTGGTAAACTATTTTACATTCTCAATATAAATTGATCAAATTAAAATTTTACAATCCTATGCCGGCTGGCCATTTTTTCACGATGGACCTTGCTCATCATTTCTTCACTGCGGCGGCAGCACTGTTCTGCTCTTCATCAACACACAGTTCGATGCCAAATTTATATTATTCAACTTCATGAGTAATATAGCTCCCATACCCTTTTTAATGAATGTTCAAGGCAGTAAAAGCATCGCTAGAAGGAAGAACGTTTTACGAAGCACAAGCAATTCCCACCTTAAATCCCCACCTTATATCAGAAAAATTAAGTTACATTAGCTCCATCTGATCTCAGCTCCATTTCCATTGGATAGGCAGTAAATCTTCTTCTAGTTTTCTTCTGAGAATGACTCACGAAGTATAAGTCTCTGCCTGAGGTAATTATAACAAATAGCAGCAGCTTCATCTAAAGTATATTTATGGAAAGTTATGATTAGGGATTGGCCGGATTGCATCTTTGATTCAGTTTGCGTTAAAAGTTCTGATTTACTCTGCATGTACTTTAAAAATGGATCACACATCTCACCAAACAATGTATTTGTATTTTACATGTAAACTGATGACGTCCGTACACATTACATGTAATGAGTTTACATGTAAAGTTTTAATAAGTAAAGAACCAAACACCCCCTTAAGGGGGAAAGTGAGGAGAACCTCTATCCTCAAAGGTAAATCTTTGAAGAAATATAGGACTTCCTCTCAAATGGGGACAAAGGTGAACCAGTGTAGGCAAAAAATATGTTTGAGGACCTTCTTTAAAGTTTAAAGACAATTAGAAACTAAAACACGAAAGAAAAAAGACGCAAAATTGTATACCTATTTATGGTCACATTGCTATATCGAGTCGCTATCAAATCAGAGTTATTCATTACAAATATGTAATGCAACAAAAGAAAGGGAATGCTTTTAATTGGAGTGATACTGGGTTGGTACAAAGTTTACGCGAACCAAGCGAAAGCGTTTAGAAAAAATCGAGCACAACAATTTACTACGGACCCGAAACCTCTCCCTTGCTTTGCAGCAAGGTAGGGTGCCCGGCTGATTAGAGTCATCCTATCAAAAAACCAACATCCGCAGATCTTAAAGGCCCACATCTCGAGGCACCTTCTTCTTCATCCGTCCGTCCGTTGCAGCAAGGCACCTCTGCCGCACGGCAGAGGATCTCAATTCGTTTACTACCCGTTGGTGTACTATCTCCATAACCAAACATTCCATATGAGCTATCACATCAGGAGCGTGAATGGAGCTAGGGGTCGGAAAGAGTAGTTATACTTTCTTATGTCCCATGCACGCTTCGCCGTAACCGTCACCAGTGGCGGATCCAGAAAACATTGTTGTTGGGGGCACTAATATATGACGAAGTATAAATATCAAAATACACTTCAAATTTGAATCATGCAATAACCTAATATTATTAATATGGATAGAAAGAAATTTATGCCAATAGCATTGTGAATTTTTTATTGACAATATTATGATATATAACGACTTTAACTTTCGTAAAATGAGTTGTCTAGTACTATGGAGTTTTCCAGGAAGAAAATATAATTAGATTATGTTTTTGGACAAAAATATGATCAAGTCACTGTGTACGAGTAACTGCACAAGAATTACTATAGTGTATTTCAGAGTCACAAGTTACTGGAATATGATGAGTCAAAAAGTCACTGAAAACTTGTAACTCAATATGTCACTTTTTTGTAAAACTTAAAGGATATGTTCGTCACAACTAGCTGATAAGATACTTTTGTGAGCTTTTTAGTAACTGTTAGCTTTTAGTGACTTAAAAGATCTTAAACAGAAAAGGTGGTAGCTGTTTGGTGAAAAGGTAACTGTTTGATTTAGTTCTGTTTGATATACAAGCTGTTTGGATTAATTAATGCTAAAAGTCACATACTTTTCTCAGATGCTATACCCTGTAGCATCTCAAAAAAGATCTTTTATTTTTTGAAAAGCTCTTAAATATAGTCATGCCAAACATACAACTAGAACCTTTTAGAGACTTTTTAAATAGTAGAAAAGCTAGAAGACAGAGACTTTTGTCTGCCAAACGTAGCCTAAAACAAGTCATATCATCTTTTGAATTTATTATTTTAATAATATTCATGGAAAGCTAAGAGACCTTAACTTTTTTCATATAAAACACCACTCTCACACTATGTTATGCATTTTCCAAATTATATCCATTATTTTTGTACTACGTACTTACGTAGTATATTTCAATTAAATAATTGAAGAGTTAAAGTTCTAATGAATAATTGTCTAATTTTTTATAAATTGTCAAATCTATGAAAAACAGCGACATGAATCTTATAATGCAATTAATTAAGTTAATTAGAACAAGAGTGATTTGAAAAGTTTGTCTAGTACTCCGTATAAATTACTACTTCCGTCCCGCTAGAAGGTTCTCATAGCAAAATGACACGGTTATTTAGGTGATAATCAAATAAAGTACTTCGGGTATATTTTGAGAAATAATTTTAATAGGTATATATTATAATGTGTTAGTATTGATAACTGTGATATTATAAATGTATTATTTTTAATATTGTTGGGTTAAGGGCCCAAGCCGAGGTCCGGCCCACTAACCCATATTGCCAGACGCACGTCCAGTTAAAACACCAGGCCAGCCCACAGGCCCATGTCCCTTGAGGATGGACGAACGTCTGATGTGGGGGCTCAGGCCCAGCAGACTCATCCCGACGAACGGCTGTGCGGGGACAAGGAGCAGGACCACGGGCCACCAGGGATGGCGACGAACGTCCCCGGGGCAAGCCTGTAGTCATCGGAGGGGACCCAGTTCACAGGATGAATATCAACAAGGCCAGGAGACGAACAGCCGATATCTTTCGAGGGTCACTGGGAGCAATCCAACTCACTTCCCGGGAGGACGAACGTCCCCACTAATCAGGCGGGAAACCTAGATTCTGGCGGGAAGTGCATTTAATGCTGAAGATTTGGTAGTTGGGACACCAGCGGTCCACAGGCTGCCACGTCAGTACAGCCACCTGCCCATTGGTGGGTATAAATAGAAGCATTTATTTCATTGTAAAGGGTTGGCAACTTTCTATTCTTAGCATACTATCTTCAGCATTCTTACTTGCAGCATTTCTGTGTGCCTTGTAAGACGAACGGCCGACGTGCCCTTTTTAGCGAGTAGATTGTATTTAGGGGAGTTATTACGAAGTTAATAATACCTACTTACATTGCTTGCTCTTCTCTCGTTTCCTGATCCATCTGAACGTTGTTGGGCTAGATAACCACACACTCACTCCACTCGAAATCTTTGGGCTTACGTGTTGGGTCCAAGGGTTGAAGGAATAAACCTCAACACTGGCGCCGTCTGTGGGAAACTGAGCAAAAAGTTTCCAGAAACTCTCCCAAACAGCTACTAAATCTACCTACAGCAAACACGATGTCAGGAAGCAACAACCAGCGTGATCTCTCCGAGCGTCTGGAATCAAGCCGCCGGAATCGCGGCCAGAACTCGGAACTATCCGCAACAATATGGACCTCCGGGGGAAACGGGGGTATCACTGACCTCATTCCTCTGGAGGCCAGGCAGGATCCCCGCCTCATGCGGGAACTCGCAGACACCATGCGTCGCTTGGCAGACGAGCGGGAGGCCCGAGACCAGGTGTACTCTGCAAGCACCCAGCGAACGCCCCTCTCTCCCATACGCCGCATGCAGTCGTATGACGATACGACAGGATCCAGCGACCACCGGCCCTCAGTCCACGAGCGGCTAGGTGGGGGTTCAGGCTCCCGTGGAACGGGAGGGCGAACCAGAATCAGCATCGCTGCATCCAGGGCTCACACACCATCGGTCCCCCGCCAAATCCCGCGGGGAGACGAGACCCCGAGGATCAACATCGTTGGACGACGTTTCCAACGGCGAGGTGCGCAGATCTTTAGGCGGCCGCACGATGCTGTGGCCACTCAGCAGAATGCCGCCCCCGAGGCCGCGCCCCCTGTGTCCCTCGGAAGGGCCACACGGGACGCACGGCTGGAAGCCATGGAGAGGCAAATAGCCGAGATGAATAGGCGGGCGGACGTCGGCTCGGCCACACCCTCCTTCTCACTCACATCACCCTTTACCCCACAGGTGATGAGCGTCGAGATCCCCCGGGATTGCAGACCCCCGGGAAACTTGGTGTATAATGGGGCTGGCGATCCTAAGGCCCATCTGATAAGCTACCAAGGGAACCTCTCCATCACTACAATAAAATTGGTTTGTAGAGGCATGTCATAATTGCCTCTAAACATAGAAAAGTAGCCTCTAATGCTCTTTAGAGGCAGTTTAGTGGTTGCCAACAAATAGTCCGTCGCAAAAAGATGGTTGCCTCTAAAAACACCATTTAGAGGCAAAAATTACTTTGCTTCTAAAAGATATATTTAGAAACAACCATACCCTTCCGCTTCAAAATGTCATTAGAGACAACCATATTATGTTGTGTCAAAATGTTATTAGAGACAACCCCATTTAATGACTCAAGATGTTATTGGAGGCATTATTATATACTGCTTTTAAAAAAAATTCAGATGCAACAGTAAATGTTGTCTTGAAAGCTTTTCAGAGGCAACCACTGAACTAATTAAGCAACATGCATTTCCTGGCAATCATTTTATTATATGCCAAATTCTATTCATTTTTTCAAATGATAATCATAATATTCACTAAAATTTAATAAACACAACTCACAAAAGCATCGCTTCCTTTAGAGTGGCACAAAATATCAAAATACATTTTTCTTTTAAATAACTGAATGTAGTAACTACTTAAATAATTTGTTCAATCTAATCTCG